ATACGAATAAATGAAATATTTCTATAGATGTAGTTTCAAGATGGTTGATAACATGTAATCTTGTGTTTTTGAAATTAATGAAAAATCCTTATGTTGAAATTATTTAAAAGTGGATATATCCCAATACATGTTTTATATAGGATTTTGTTAAAAAAAATAATATTAAGCTTGTGAAAAAGGGATGGTGGCATACTTTCACCAAATATTAAAAGCAAAAGAGATATCTTTAAGAATCCTACTTAAATATTAGGGAAGATTAATCCTTTTTACAAAATTATAATAACAATAATAAATAAAAACATAATAGTAGTGTATTTAAGTAGTTATTGTTGCACTATAGCATGCAGTCATCATTTGCTTGAATTCATTTATTAGTTCAGCCTAAGAAAGTGAATGATGGTTGTAAATATACTTTCATCAAACTTTTAAGACAAAAAAAAAATATCTTTAAGAATCTTACTTAGATATCGGTAGATCTTAATGAGGTTTTTTTTAAGGTAAAAAATAATAAATTCATATCATATGTTCTTATTAATAAAAGGTTAAAGAATAACGAGCACAAAGAACCCAGAATAATTGGTCTTATGTAGATATAACACTCATTCACAATTTCAAACCATAGAAGAAAAAAACACAGCCAGAATTAAAAAGGTTGAAAGAGCTTAGGAAAAAATAAAAGAAAGGGTAACCAAGATATAACAAAGTATTGATAAACAAATATTGAAACTAAAGCAATTGTAGTTTGGTTTATTAAAAGGCACAAAAGTTGTTGATCCATTCGAACCAAAGAAAGGGATTAATACTGAAAAACCATTATACCCACATAGGTTCATTACATCCTAAGTTCAAACTTCTCATGGCATAAATTTACAGCCACCAAACCCTACGCTTATGTAAGTCATGCTACTAGTCAATCATTGGTCCACACGAATGTCAACCTAGGATCTACTCTTGTCGATCCTATAATGGTTCCAAACCTTGATGACTTGTGAAAATAAGAGGAGTTGAGAAATGTAGTTGATCTAGTGGAAAATATTGAAATGTAAAATAAATATGATGACTAGAGGAAAGGCTAAAAGCAATAGAGGAGAGCGACATATTTAGAAGTATATATGCTAATACTTTCAACTTAGTGCCAAATTTGCTCATCTTGACTAAATTCAAAGTCTCTAACTTCAAAAGTATAATGGAACAAGTGCCTTTCTACTCATATAACAATGTTCTATCGAAAAATGATAGGACATACCCACAATGATAGGATATTAATCTATTGCTTCCAAGATAGTTTAACCAAATTTGTAGTGAGATGGTATGTACAATTGGATCGAAGCAAAAATCACTCCTAGAAGAATCTAGCTGGAGCTTTTATTACATAATACAAACATATAACGGATATGGTACCAAATAGAATATCCCTTTAAAATATGAAAAAGAAGCTTAATTAAAGCTGTAAGGAGTACACCCAATGTTGGAAGGATCAGGTAGCCTAAGTTCAACCCTCATTGATTGAAAATGTAATCATTGTACTCTTTGTAAGCACCTTTCGTGCTTTTTTCTATGATAAATTAGTAGGTAATGCCATAAAAATTTTGCTAACATGGTTATTTCTAGGGAAATGATAGAAATGCTATTAAGAATAGCAAAATTGAAAGTCACGATCCGTCTAGTGTTAAGAAATGAACCACTTAAAAGAAGAAAGCAAAAAAGACCTATGTGATTTTATAAAAACCTACCACCTAAACCATACATTCCTTACCAACCCTATCCCACATAAACAATTTACTATCTATCTATTAGCCAAGTGTCTCAAATGCCATACTTTTATCAGCCACCTAGTAACCAATATATCAACAAAGTTTTTGCCCATAAATGCCTAGTTATACACTTATACCAACAACTCCACCATTTACTCAACAAGTTAGCCCATTAAGCAACCCAATAGGGTCACACACCAATTGTGAAAGTGCTTATTGGATCCAATTCCCATGTTCTATACTAATCGTTATCCATAGCTGGTAAAAACTCCCATCATTACCTTAGTTCACATGGAAACTTTGAAGCTTCCATACCCCAAATGCTATGACTATCACTATTGAAATTTGGATCATTATATTATAAACGGTATAGCCTTGAAGTATAAGGTGCAGAGTCTAATAAAAGCTGGGTTGGTGGATTTTGATACTAAAACCAAGCTAAGTGTCAACAGAAACCCATTTTTGAATTATATTAGGGAAAAAGAAAATGTAGTCGATTATGGTAAAAAAATGAAGATTAAAGGTTATGTGGACCAGGTAAAAACCCCTTTAAAGTGGGTATTTGATTGTTTATTGAAAAAGAGCATGATTCAACCCATGTCTACAAATGATAGTCTCAGTTGTGAATATCACAGCTTGACTTGTAAATACCATGAATGAATGATTAAACATCCCATTCAAAAATGTGAAGCCTTAGATAAGTTATATGAGAATTGATGAATTAAGTAGTAATTAAATTCTATGATGAATGTGGTGAAGATATAGTAAATATGGCAGCTGGTGAGTACCTAAGTACATCATTTGTTCTAATACCAATCACTAAATTCTATGATGAAAAACTAGAGCCAAAAAAGGAAAAGCATATAGCTTTCTCAAGGGCATTGTTTACAATTTACATTCCCTACTCATTTTCATATCAAATTATTATTTGATATCTTAATTATAGAAATTAATATTTTAAACTCAATGAATATGTCCATATGACATCGTTGATAAGCTTTTTTTTCTTTTCCCTTTTTTTAGGTTTTTCTTTTTTTAATTTTTTTAATTTTAATTTTTAATTTTTTTTTATTAGATAAATTTTATGAAAAAAGGAGGCCAACTGAGGTATCCAATGTCACCTCCATTTTGTTTTCTTATCTTTTGTTTTTTTTTTCTTTAATTAGGTAGATTTTGTAAAAGAAAAAAATTGATGAAGTAAAAATCATTTTACTATAATTTTATTAAAATTTATATTAACATAATAAAAATTGAAATAAACTATAAATAATTTTAAATAATTTAAAAATATTTATTTTAACTAATAAAAAAATTGAACCCACAATGTCGCACGACTCATTTCTAGTATTTATAAATTTGAATAAAGAAAAAAATATTAAAGTTTATAAGATGGAAAAAAGTTAATTTTTATATTCAAAGTTTATGAATTTTCTTACATACATAAAAATGTACTTTAAATTGTTAAAATTTTTGAAGCCATACTTGATTCAACACGAAAAATAGTGTCGCATTAGGCATGATAGGCATCGTAAGAACTATGAGTCATGTGTCGTGTTGGTTGTACTTTTAACTTTTTCAAGCTGGCCAGCACGTTAAATAATAGTATTAGGTCAGTGCAAACATTAACACATGGGTTAATATTTAAATAGACTATGCCACTCAATACAGCCCTTTTGACAGCTTTAAATAGTGTTAAAGTATATTTAGCACAATAATAAACAAATCTAACATTGTATAGTTTAGGGAAAAAGATTTATCATGGATTAAATAAAGATTTAGATTCTTGTCGACTCTGATCAGTCAAGAAATAAAACTTGAGAGTTAAGACAGAATAAGAAAGCATCTCAATGGAAGCCTAATAGCCAAATTCCATGGCAGTTGCCAGAGGTGAAGGCTTGTGCTGTACTGCTCCAGTGCACCCAACCAAAAAGGTACTTCAAACAAAATTCACTGTCGTTAGGTTACAGTAAAAAGGAAAAAGATTCAAAGAAAAGAAAAAAAAAAAAAAAGGAGAAATCAAGTGAAAACGTTGTCGTAAGAGAGGATAACGGAAATGGATGCTTTATCAGGTCGACTCAATTGGTGTTGGTGGAGGCCAGGACAGCCCTCATTGGCCCCAATCTGCAATCATTGTAGTAAAGTTTTATTGTCTAATGCTTATGCGGTTATGTTATGCCATCAAGAGCCTTAAGGAGTTAGGAAGTAGCATTTCCTTTTTTCTTACGCTTCACTCAAAGCTGCCTGCAAGGCTTGCAAATGCAATATTGTTGTCTGCTGCATCTTTTGACTGCATAATCAGTTGAACAACACGCCCACTTTATTAGCACCTAGCACCCTTTTCACTATTTCGTCATGTTTGAGTCAGGAATCACAACTTTGTTTGTTGGCCTTAGGCCTTAGGCCTTAGGCTATGCAGGACAATGAACTATAGGATAATATTACTGAATTTAACAGGTGCCAGCCAGAGAGCTGGCCACTTCCCCTCCCCTTGCGAGGATTTTGTTCTTTCTATATCCAACTCTAACTTTCGATCTTTTGCAGTGGAATCAACTTTTGTTAGGTATGTTTGTCCAATTCAAAGTTACGCTCTCGTTCTAGTTCTAGCTTTAGCCTCCTCATATGCACTTTCATTGTAAAAACAAACGAGCACACCTTCGCTGTAATCGATTCAAAATTTTTTTTTGGATGATATCCATTTATAATATATACATATATATATATATATATAAATTATAAATAAAACTTTGATATAATATGTTACTATATTATTACAATTATTTATATATATAAATTATATATAAAACTTTGAAATAATATGTTATTATATTATTACAATTATTTGCAAGAATTCTTATATTTTGTAAAATAATAATAATAATAATTATTATTATTATATCATTATTAATATTATTAAGCGTATTATTTTTTATATGAATAATTAAATATATTCAACTAAAAATTATCGATGAATTTATTAATTTTATCGGTAAAAAATATATTCAAAATTTTTTTTTTAAATATCAAAAGTAAAATTTTTTATAAATTTTTTATTTTTTTAATTATTGGGCATCCATAAACAATTTACTTTAACCCTTAAATCCACCTCTTCACCTTTTCATCTTAGGATTCTTCAATTAAAGCTCAATTGGATTAGTAAGGAACTTGGAAAGATTGAATTGGATGGATATAGTTGGCAATAAGCATAAAGGATAGCAATGAGTCGTGTGGATTACCCTTTTTTTTTTATTCATCTAGAGAGTAAGTGGTGGAGAAATAGAAGCAGACAAGGAAATCAAGATCTAGTTAAAAGTGAAAAGAAAGAAAATGGGATGGAGATATATACATTCGATGAATAATAACAGTAATTCTGCTTCCTCTTGAAGATACAGACAACTCTCTTCACAGATTTCAATACTCGCAATTACTCCAGCTGGTATCCACTGACAGCAATGAAAAAGCAGCATAACTCTTTCACCAAAAAAAAAAAGAAAAAAGCAGTATAACTGCACTTTTATGTTAGTGGTTAGGCTTTGGTGCTTCTGTTTGAGATTGGTTAATCTGTGGAGTACTATATTTTGATTTATTGAACCAACCAAAAAACACTTTATATAATTATAGCAAAACAAAACAATTGAAACCCTTTAGAAGGGAGCATATGAGAGGTAGACTTTTCAAGTAACATTCCTTAATAACAATAATTAAATATAATCAAAATTAACTTTAAAATAATTAATCGACTATTGTCCAACTCATGTCATTCTCAAAGATCCAATGGCAGACTTCAATTCGACCAGGGCTGGACCCCAGTGCCACAAAGGCTCCGTGACTCTGGCTCCAAGCTGACGTGTCAAGATGACAAATGGCAACACCATGATTAATCTTGGATTGACTTTTAACGTCAAGAATTTCAGCTTCATAAACCCTAACCTTGGGCACCGAGTGACAATAATAGAGTAGGTACGGATACAAACTCTGATGGCATGATACTGATTTTGTCATATGGCCACCGTTTATTCCTCTGACTTTTCCAATCGTGATCTCTTGCTTTGATCCCTTCACATTTTGTGTTGTTCGGACCGTAACATTGTGCCCCAAGACCAATGTGGCGAAGTCAATCATGTCCTCAACAGAGCCAACGCACCGCTTGGTCTCACCTTGGCTGGGCGGCCTCTCGCATTCTGTCAGCGCGTTGATTAGAACACGCTCCATGCTTGAATTCTCCGGTGCACCAAAAATTTCCCTAATCTCAGATAGGCGGGAGATTGAAAATGGTAATTTGGATAAAATCCCCCGGGGCAAAAATGACCTTTTGGGCATTTTGTCCTCAATGTCGGGCATCACCATGACATTCCCCTGCTTCAACGTGGACTCCCTAAAGAATTTACCTGGTTCAACCCATCTATTTACTGAAACACCACTAATATGTGAAGATGCTAGTATTTCTTTAGAGCTTGAATTCGTGTATCCAGCAAATGTGACACCCTTTTTAGCATAATCTTTGAATGAAGGGTCCAATCCATAGATTTTGAACCCTATTGTAGTGGAACCAGTGGAACCATGACCATATTCTTTGAATGTATCATTTCCAACATTAAATGTCTTCCCATAATTTGCAAAGTTCACTTTCCCGGAATTTGAATTCCTTGCATAAGATTGAAAGGAATCATCTCCAACATTAGCAGAATCTCGATAGCTAGTAAAGCTATTAATCCCCGAGTTAGCCGCTAAACCATAGCTTTTAAAGTTGTTATGCGGGTTGTTACCTGAGTTGCCATAGGCTTTAAACGAGTCGTTTGGTGCGTTCCCTAACTCTCCATACCCCGTAAAACTCGACCCAATAGTGTTTGCATTATCACTGTAGCTACTGAACTCAGCAGGAACTGCATTGCCGTTCTTGCCATAACTAATGAATGCTTCGGAGCCTGAGTTTGTCTCGGAGCTATAGCTTGAGAAAGAGAGTTTATGGTTGTTACCATCCGAGTCATAGGTGGTGAATCGGAGATTTGGCACGTTAACTCGTTCCTGATAGTTATTGAACTCGCCAGAGCCGCCTGTGGCGCTGGAGCCATAGTTGGTGAAGTTGTCTGTAGCAACATTGGCGTCTTTGGCATAGCTTGTGAACTCTTCTATATGGCCGTTTGATTCCCTGCTGTATTTCTTAAAAGATTCACTGGGAGTATTTAACCCATCCGAGTAGTTCTTGAATGAGTCGACCCCTCCAAGTCTTGACCTGCCATAACCTGAAAAGCTTTTACTGGAATACACCGCGAAGTCTGCATCCTGGTTACGCTTGCCAACAACGTCTGGTTTCGAGGAGTCCTCAAATAAACAGAAAAGATTGGCTAAGGAACAAAAAGATTCAATGTGGGAAGATAGAGAGTTCATGTTGGGGAGTTTGGTGAGCTTCGCCAAGTCAATGGCGTTTAGTGGAGAAGCCTTGGAGATAAGAAATGGTGGCTTTGGAAGATTGTTGGAAATGTGTTTGTTCCAGTAACGAATCAGGGAAGCTTTTGCTGTAAATGGGTTCTCCTTAGCTTTGTTTGTCCCTGTAGATAAAACTTGCACCACCTGGAAATAGAATAAAAGAAACTAAGTGCATGAAATACAGAATATACAGAGCAAAAACAAGATTAGGAAATTTAGTTTTCTTACGACGAAAGATGAAAGACAGAGGTAGAAGAAGACAAAGAGGATTTTCATGTTTGTTTTGTTCTCTATCGAATACAAGTTGGGAGAAGAGAGAGTGCTTTGTTTGGGGGAATAAATATAAGTAGGACTTTCCTTTCTTCCGAATCTGTGTTTAAGTTTGTTTTCTTTTTGACAAGTTTTTACTTTGGGAAAATAAAGCTGGTCGGAGCTGACTAACCTGGATTTAATTTGAAAGGGGGCCAAGAATACGAGCAATGACAAGATATAAAGAAAGCTAAAACTAAAAGCTTGCAAGTTTAGCAGTCGCTTATCTTAATTTACCGGTTTTTGTTATTAGTAGTAGCAGTTAAGGATGTAATCAATCAAGTTTTAATAAAGTATTAAACTTAAATTTAAATTTGATTCAAAATTTGAGATTCAAAATTTGATTTAAATTTGATTAAATTTTATTTTTTTAATTTGAGTTCGATTTAATATAAAAATTTAATTACTCGAGTTTATTCGATTAAGTTCGATTAATTTATAAAAATAAATTCGATTCTTATATTCGATAAAAAGCTTGATTATTTATGCTCAAACTTGAATTCGAATTTAAAATATTTTATTAATTAAAATATATTAAAATATAAAAATTCGATTAGACTCGTGAGCAATTTGAATTAAGTGTCAGAATATTCAAACTCAACTCTATCGATAAATTAAATTATTCGAATTCGGGCTAAACTTAATAATAATCAAACTGAATTTAAATTTTATTCAAATCAAACTTATATAACTTACGAATACTAATATATTATTTACATATCTAATCGTAACAATATCTTTTATTGAACTAATAGCTTAAGGTGGGGTGCAAGAAAAAAACCAAACGAATTGAAAATTAATTCGAAATTCTCTCAAAAAGTTTTTTTTGGTTCGATTCAAATTGGATATTCAATAGTTTGGATTTTTTTATTCTTGAAGCAAATAAATAAAAAAATATATGAATTAAATTGAATTATAGTTTTATTAGTTTTATAAAAAAAATTTAAATTTTTATTAAATAAAATAGTTTTTTAATTTAAAATTATTTAAATATATTACAAATAATATGAAAACAGTAGAAAGTTTTTTTTTAAAAAAATTATTTTCAAAATCCAATATCTTGAAGTAAAAAGATTTAAAATATTTGAATTGAATCGATTATATTTTTTATTAATTTTATGAAAATTTTAAATTTTTATAAAATAAAAAATATTTTAATCTAAAAATTTTTAATATATTAAAAATAATAAAAAATATTATTTAAATTTTGATTAGATTTAAAAATTTTAAAATATTGAAATAATCAGATATCACCCTTAGCTTAAAATACTTATATAGAAGAGAATTTGAGAGTAAACTATTTAGATTGTTTCACGTAAATTTTTTTGTTCGATCTTGTCTAAGAATATTAATATGTGAAAAATAATATATTTATATTAAATTTTAATAATAAAATAATATATAATAATATTAATATAATAATAGTTTATAATAATATAAATTAAATGAGTAAAACAGATTCAAATTTGAACTTAAATTTTCAATATATCAATTGAGTTCAATCCAATTGGATTCAGTCTATGAACATTTTATTTATTATTTAATGCATCCGGTTATTAAGCATTTATTAATTTGCAATCTAAAACAAGTATAGCTATGGAATTTGATTTGAGACCTTGTCTGGTTGAAACTTGTGGCTTAGGATGCTGTCCATATAATGATTTCTCCTACTTTGGTTTTGGGAGAGATGTCATAATTCTACCTTCCTTAGATAATTGATTGTTTCGAAAGTACTATAATTTATTTGTTTCACCAACACAAGTTGAGCCATTAAATTATAAAACGACAAAGTTGTGTAGATTAATTACCAGCAGAACTTTAAGTAGAATGGCATCTTTGTCTCTCTCACATGGAGTTACAAGAAATTAATGCGGATGCTTCAGTTTGGTATCGATTTACAAAATCCAATTAACGAACTGTTTTTTAATAGGAGAAACAAACCCATATGACAGATCGGTGGCCTGACTGATAATCGGCATGCCAGTTGGATTCAGATTTTTGGGTTCAGACTTCGGACTTCAGAGTCCAATCCTTCTACTTTTCTTGACTTCTTTTTTTATAATTGAAATTATCAATGTTAAATTCTTATTATTATAATTAATAATTTAATGCTATCAATAAATTCGCTGCTTGACAATTTTTGTCATCGATATCAAAGTACGGTTCCAATCACATAAATATATATATATATAAGAGATGAATTTATATAATGTAAAATTAAATAAATTTTTTATATTTTTTAACTATTAATTTTAATAAATCTAAGGGATGAGATAAGTAAAAATATATAAAAAAATAATTTAATTTCATCCTTTGAATATATTAAAATGAATGATTAAAAAATGTGTAAAAAATTTTAAATTTTACACTATATAAATTGATTCCTACTCATATATATATATATATTATATTAATAACATTATTATTAAATACCCTAATTTATTAACGTGTAAAAATGTCCATGTGATTCTCCGATTTGGATTTTTTCCTTTCATTTTTTTTTTAACTTATAAATTTTACAACAAAAAGAACTAATAAATAGAGAGAGCAAAAAAATTCGTATCCAATAGATTTTGATCTTACTCAATCTGATAAGGGGTATTTTTTGTTTTTTATTTTTTTTAATTTCTATTAAAATTTTGTAAGAAAATAATGTCAATAAAAAATCCACTACCATCCAATTTGCTTGTTTCCTTTTGTATTTGTATTTTTTTTTTTTTGTGTTTTAATTACATTAATTTTGTAATAAAATAAGTTGATTGATAAAAATAGCAAAACTATCGATATCCAATAGATTTATATCCAACTTGATTTGATATGGGCATTTTTATCAAAAAATCAATTTTGAGTCAAGTTAGTTGTTTTTATATAAAAAGTGGAGGTGACTCAAAAGCAAATTTATGATACTTTGCCCTATGACATTGTGTGATATATATATATATATATATTTAATTATATATTTATATATGTATTATATTAATAAATGTATTATTTTATACCTTAATTTAAGATATTAGTACACTCAATTTGGATGTCCACTTGACATTTCAATGATCTCTTTCTTTTTCTATTATTTTTTTGGCTTATTTTTTTCATTTTTTTGGTTTTTTTATTAATAAAGTTATTATTTGACATCTTAATTTAAAATATAAATATTTTAAACTCAATTGGAATGTCCATATAGTATCCCAATAAACTCCATTTCCCTTTTTTCTTTTTTTTTTCTTTTTTTATGCCTTTTTTAAAAATTAATTTTATGAAAAAATAAGGCCAATAGAGATGTCCACTAGGTATCCTCATTTTGCTTTTTTTTTTCTTTACCTTATTTTTTATTTTTTATTTAGATAAATTTTACAACAAAAGATTAAAGCTTGAATTAAAGATTAATTACACTTAATTAAGCAAAGGAATTCATGAAGGAAAAGGTAAAAAAAACTCCCATGCATGGCATTGGAAACATATGCAAACTAGTTTCAGCCAAATGAAGCTTTTGCACTAAAATGCGTCCAAAATGAGTCCAAAATCTCCAATTTTCATCTTTTCTCATATTCTTACTTGTGCATTGAACATTTAAGCAATAGGAGTATTTTTGTTAAATTTCTTAATGAGCAAGCAAATATTCATCATAAAATGCCCTAAAAAGGTATGATAAATCACTAAAATTTTAATGCAATAACTGTTTGGTTATGACTTTAGCTTTCTAATTCATGTTTCTTAGCTTAGATTTATTTTACAATCATGTTAGATTTTAATTCAAAGCAATCTACCTACCATCTTACAAAGGTTTTCAAGTATGCTTTCCTTGCATTTAGTTGATATGCTCTTGGCTATTAGTATTTCTTGCTTATGGTTTTCCATTCTTATTGACAATAGCTTAATGTTGTCTACTTTAATTGCTTAAATTAACTTTAGATTGATTATGAAAATAATAGGCACTTAGTCTAGGCTTTTTAACTAATCCTTTTGGGAATGATTTTTTGACTTAGGCCATTATTATTACTTGAACGATCTATGCATTTATAGAAAGATCGCAATAAAAAAATCATGTATAAAAATCAAAAGGTGGATAAGACTTATCTTGATTTTTGGTGAGAACCTTCATTTTTCTTTTCCTTGGCATACCTTATGTAAACTATTTCCATTCTTCACTAATTACATCATTAATCTTATTCCAAATTTCAAAACATTATAGCCATTTTCAAGTGCCTTTGAACCTTTCTATATCTTAAGTTTGAATGAATGGAATTTAAGCCTTAAGATTGCTAGAAATTCAAGATCCAAATGATGATCTTTCATATGTATCTTTGGTTGTAATCTTGCCTTCCAAGCTTTGCTAGAACTTAGGATAAAATCTTCAAAGAACAAGAAAATAACTTCAGGGCATGCTACAAATGCCTCTTTCCTTAAGGCTTATGTCATCCATACTAGTTATAGTATGCAAAAGAGATACATTCAAAATGCTTTTAAGATACAATGAAGTCTTGTTTGATTTTACCTTGCACTTGTGATATCAAACCACTAAACATCTTTTGAAGAAAACAATGATATCAAACTTTGATAAATAATTTATTCAAAAATAATGTGAAAGTAACTATACTTTAGTTTTGAAAAAAAATGGAAAAAAGGAAATAGAATTTCATAATGATTAATTCTTGAACATGTCCAAATGAACACTTTCATTCTCTATTTATAAAGATTAAATCCAAGATTGTAACTCTTTAATTATGTGTTTTTAATCAAAGATCACTTTTTTTAATGAAAACACACCTATCTTAATAATTACAAAGGTAATTATTCATGTGAATGATCATTATATGAATGATCATACTTTAATCCATAAGAAACTTTTCATTCTTTTCAAAAAATCATGACTTTTATACTAAGCATTCGAATACCCTATATGGGCATTTGAATACCCATTTGTATTTTTGCTTTCAGAATACAAATAGACAATCAGTATTCAATTGTTGCTTGAGTTAGGGCATTTAAATGCCCAAGTGTCATAACGTATCAATTTGGAGACTCGATCGTTAGACGTAAAAATTTA